GTTAAACTTTGTTTTTCTATCGATTTCTCGTATTCTCCCTAATTTAATCATCTACCATCATTAACACCATGTTAGGGGGATTAAAGAGCCAATGAAAATAATTAACAATTCAAATATCAATAAGCAAAGTTATGATCGAAGAGACACGCACAATTTTAACTCACACACTTGCAGCAACTACATGTTATTCTATTGAATGAAATGATAGAATACATTCATTCAGCAAATGTTATCTTTATTATTCTAATTTGGTATCTTGGATCCCGATACCAAATTATATTCTCATTTCTTAGTTCATCTTCCTTAATATCTAAATCCGGTTACATTCCTCTCCTATCATTAAATTTTTTATTTATCTAAATTTATATAGCCTTTTGAAAGCCTTCTAATAGGTGTTGAGTATTGCAGTGAAAAATAATTGCTTTTGACTTAGTGTCTCTAGTGAGAATGTCCAAGAGCGTTATTCGCTATTTTAACACCAGGGTTAATTACATTAATTTCGAAACTTTAATAATAAGGCCATGTAACACCTCAATTATGCAAAAAGAAAGAGGGGGTGAAACATTTTATAATCAGACAGGTCATGCGATTATGAAAAGCTAAATTTCTTAAAGCTTTTTCTAAAAATAAAAACCATTCAATTATGCCACAAGTCTTGGACATAGCAGTTTTAATATCAAACCAATCTTTCTTTCCTTTTTTATGTTTTTTTCATGTGGTTGAATCACTCCGTGAAAATAAGAGCAATGTAAATGATAAGCTCACTACTAGGCACAAAAGCACTTCTCTTATCCTTTAGGAGGGCTATCACCAATTTGCATAAGACTCACTCTTTATCCTCAAGAGAGACAATGAGTTTAATTCAGTATATGTTGATGACATAACCTTGGCTAGAACCTCAACAACTTAATTGACTAGGATTTTAGTTATTATTAAAAATAAAATTCAAAATCAAGAACTAAGGGATTTTCAAATATTCCATTGGTTTAGAGGCTGCACATTCAAAAGCAAGAACTTAAATTTCTTAGAGAATGTATTCCCTAGACTTGCTTGAATCTACATGCCTTCTAAGTTCCAAAATGCTAGCACATCTCTTGATCCATCTATTACGTTACATCAAGATAATATTGAACTCCTTAATGATTTCTCTTCCTACATAAGATTTATTGGGAGACTATTCTATTTGAGCACTATAAACCATAACTCTAGTTACTTACCAACGCAAGCAATAAACCTAAGACCCTTTCTTATGCAGGCTTAGACCCTCTTTTTCAACTTACGCATTACAAGAAAATACTTATTCTTGAAATTTTTGAAGTTGTTCATATATACTTCGAAGACTTATGATCCTACATCAGAGAGATCAATTGTTGAGGATTGTTGGGGTCAGAAGTCTTCCTCAACGCGTGGAGGAGGTGATACTATTCTTGTAATCGTACAGTGCTGGAGTACTTTTGCATATGCCCGACTTATATGATGCAACTATGAAGGGGCGATGCCTTCTTCGCCAGGTCTTCTTTACAATTCAAGGATAAAAAATGGTGTCAGTAATTCAAACATCTATACGCTTCTTCAATATCATCTTACTTCATTCTTAGTGTGGATGTTCTAAGCTCCTAGCAAAAATTTTGTGTGTTACGATCATCTATAATATTTTCTGCAACAATAGGGTAAATCCTACCTCGACCTATTTCATAACTATGAGAGGGGTATAAGGCTACCGATCACTAGAATTAACTAATATTGATTCGGTGCTATAATCACAATCATTAAGGTCTACAAGGGGAATGAATACCTAAATATAGGTTTCCTGGGTTCTCCATATTCAAACACGATTGAAAACTATTCCTACGGAGGTGGGGGCATGTTCGCCTCTGGAAACAATGATAATCATCTCTATATAAATGTGACATTAAAAAACGAATTAAAAACCAATGGCCCATGCAAGTCTCGAACCTGCGACCTTTGCGTTATTAGCACGACGCTCTAACCAACTGAGCTAATGGGCCACTTGTTATGAAAATAGTAACTTTTATTTAACTCTTTTGATGGTTTCATAAATGGCACAATATATGATTTATACTATTCTAAATAAGTCTTAATCATACAAATGTCTAAATGTTAAGTAATAAGAACATTAAAAAAACATTAAAATTAAAAATAACAACTAATATATTAAAATATAAATAAATTATTAGAATTGAAAGTAACAACTAATACATTAAAATATAAAAAAAAAATACCTTTCTAATCAATTTCACATAAAATAATGACTAAGGCTTTTATTTAGGAGGTGTTTGTTTCAAGTTTAGAAATAAGATTTCTGAGAATACATAAATAAGAAATGAGTATAGTCATGTTTATTACAAGTTTGAAAATAATTATTCTTAAGAATAAAGATTTTAAGAAAAAAGTAACTTCTCATAACTTCTCATATTCCCATGGAATTATTCCCATGTAAAAGGATGGGAATGTGGATTCTAATGAAATTTTTATAAATTTAAAAAAAAAAATTAATCAAAATCATAATTTTCTTAGGAATATCAAAATATTTGCCAAACACTTTTTTTTAAAAATTCTTTGGAATAAATTTCTTATCTTTATTTTTCTGGATAATTAATTCCTAGAAATAAATTTTGATTCCTTGAAACAAACGCTCCTTAGGGTTGGATATAAGTGCACAAGTTATGGTAAGAAAGACAGAAGATATTAACATCAATGAACAAACACAGCATATACATGGCTCTATAAATACTGCAACATTATTTACTGCTATATAACCTTTGAAATTAAGATTTATATGTTCATGAAGCTTCATGCCTATTTTTCTTCAAAACACCATCCAATTAAGGTTCATCCTCCTCATTTTTTCTCCTCTCTATATAAGCGGTTTTATTTAGCTATAGTTTGCTTTGTCTGTTCAAAAAGACTAAGGAACATAAATAGAACAAATACCAACCACTTGAAGGACTATTGGCCTTAAGCAACCAACAAAAAACAAGTTTCAAATAAGCTATGACAGAAACAGAAAACTATATATGACACGAGACAATCATTATACTACTACTTTTTGCTGACAAAATAGCTAAAATCATAAACAGAAAAGTGATTGTTGACAAACCGATGAAAGCCATGGTTCATTTGATCTAACTGATGAGAAGAACTTCAGGGAAATATAGTATAGTAGTTGAAGCTCTTTGCAATGCTCATATGATTCTGATATGCTATGTGTGACTTTTATAGTATCTCATAAAACAAAACTTAATAAGAACCATTTTGTTGGTTAACTAACCTATCAACATTGAAATTCCATATTTTCACAAAAAGTAAGTTAATGCACGTGAACTTGACACTTGGAACAAGTTACTTCAGCTATGACTTTGAAGTGTATTTAGACTATATAAGATACATTAAAGGTAAGAGTTGTACAATTAAACAACATTATTTATCACCATAACCTCAAACTATCTGCAAAGGATTCATCAAGCTTCCTATTGAAAAGCCTGTTGAAGTATTATGCATGTGTCAGGTTCTTGTATACTTGCTTGTTATCTTCATCGATTAACTTTTCAACAGGTCCAATATCTTTAGAGGAATTTGGATAGAAATATCTCACTATTGACAATATTTCCTTCTCCTTATTCAAGACGGCTCAATGCTCTGGTGATTTGTATATTCCACTTGACAATAATCGAAGAACATGCATCATCGAACTTGCAATGAATCAGTATTTGAGGAAAAATTTGAAGCCTTATGAGTCCAAAAATATACAAACCTAAATTATATGGCCAATGTTAACAACAATGGCACCTTCTATTGGTTCAACACTGACCCATTTTCCATCTTTGAGAAACTGCAGTCCTGGAAAATCACCAAAATCAACCAAGAGAGTGATCGCAAAATTGTCGGCATGAGGAATGATCCCGAGAACTCTTTCAGGCTCTGGACAAGGTGGATAGAAGTTCATCCTAAATGTTGGGAAGATCAGTATAAATAAAGGCAGAGTAGAATTTTAAACTCAGCTCTTTCTTGACGTATCAGAGCTAAACGATCTGAAAGACAAGGATACAAAACTTTAGAGATCAGGGAATTCAAATCTGACATAATTGATATTAGCCTACTTTACATTGAGGTTCCAGGTTTATAGGCAATTTACACACAAGTACACCGCTTTTTACCAAGGTTTAAAAAATTGCAAGCAGGTGAAGGCAACAACATACTTACATGTTACATTCAAATCAATATATAAATGTAGTATTGAGCAGATACTGATTCTGTTTCAGATAATAAAATTAAAATCAGTCTTTGATTTCAAAATGGACTAAAAAGTTGGCTTAGTAAACAAACGAAAATATTTGGCATCTGAGGCAAGTTAGCTGACATTTGTTATTAGCTAGCAAGCTAAGCCACTAAGCATTTATCAGTGGAACATAGAAGATGGTTGATGCAAGAACTGTGGAACAGACCAACCTAATTCTCTGCAGCCTGCACTTGTAAATGAAGAATGCTTTAAACTCAGCAAAGGAATACGAAGTCAACTCTGCAGAATTTTATACTTAGAATTATAGATTATCAGAAAATTTGTAAATTAGTAACATTTTCCTGCACTCTTTGTATTGACATTTTATAATCATAGTAACTGACTCACCACCAACAAAAAAAAAACACTACAAAATATAACTAATGTATTTTTCAAAAAAAATATATTTACTGTCAACAAAAAAAAACTAAAATTAATGGCCCATGCAGGTCTCGAACCTGCGACCTTCGCGTTATTAGCACGACGCTCTAACCAACTGAGCTAATGGGCCATCTGTTATAAAATTAAAGACTAACCTTTTTTGTAATGATTCTTTAAATTACACAATGCAAAGAAAATAAAGCAGATTTACGGCGAAACCCGCGGCGGTTGACAGTGGTTCAACGACGGCACCAACTCAAATCAACAAAATCTCAACCTCGACCCCCCTTGTTTTATTGCGTAGAGCATGAATCTGGCCTCAGATTTTCCTAACTCGAACCTTTAAGTCAACAAACTCATTCGAAAACTCACAATTAAGGCATGAACAAACTTCTAAAACTTCAACCTTACAAAATCCTTCTGAACCTGGACCCTTCAAGTCATCAACAGACTTCTCTATCTCCACCGTCTCCAGTGGAGGCACCACCTTGGAGGAAGTTTTCAACTGAGCAGGTGTTTTCTTAGACTTCTCTGGCTTTCCCTGTTTCTGCATCTCAGCTAAACCTTCACAAATAGCTTGAAGTTTAGCGGCTACAAAAGAAGGAAGAGGCTTATACTCACCAAACTCACCACCAATGCCAATACATGATCCATGGTGTTTGAAATTCGGGAAATTAAGCCTAGCAAAGTCACCACGAAGCTTATAAACAGCTTTGTCGTAAGCCAAAGCAGCTTCTTCTGCTGTAACAAAGGTACCAAGCCAAAGCCTGTATCTCAGCAACCCATTTTTCCCTCTGTATAGCTTCGTGGGTTTTGAAGGAGTATTACCCACGTGCTTCATAGGGATCGACGTTGGACTGGGGAAGCTAAGAGTGTTACTGAGAGTTGTTGTTGATGTAAGATAAAGCTTTGAAGTTGGATTTGTGATTGGATCTGGTTGATTTGAGATGGGGTCAAATGGTTAAGACCAAGAAGAGAAGAAGATGGTTTTTGAACAAAGCCTATGAATTTATGGCTATCTGATAACAGTGGTAGCGGAATTGAAGAAGGAAAGCGGCGGAGGAATGAAGTATGAAGGAGGAAGAAGAACACGATGACAAAAACTCAAATTAGGGTTCAAAGTAATTTAAGTTTTAAAATGTTTTCGTTAAAATAAATAAATGACAGATAGAATAACAAAATGTTTTAATTTAAAAAATGTCAAATTGTCAATGCCACATAAGCTTTTTGGGTGAGTTGGTTTAATGAGTGACCAAAACAGTGGAATCTTTAAATGACATGGTGGAAATCTAAATTTTTTTTTACGGGGAGGTTTTCAAATCTCGTCCAAATGACAGAGGGCAAAATGGCTATTAACCCATTAATATATGAAAAAGTAAATACACTATTACTATTATACTTCTCTATCAATTTCTCATAATACTTTCATCTAAGATGGATTGGATATCAGTACACAACTTATGGTACAAAAGACAAAAGTTATTATGATCAATGAAAAAACTCAACTTATAAATGGTCCTATAGACTCTGTAGCATTATTTACTGCAATATATAACCTTTGAAACTAAGATTTATGTGTTCATGAAGCTTCAAATATAGAATGTATGCTTATTTTTCTTCAAAACACCATCCAATCAAGGTTCATCCTCCTCATTTTTTCTTCTCTCTTATAAGCTGCTTGTTTTATTTAGCCATAATTTGTTTTGTTTTTAAAAGACAGCAAAACATTTTACTAAGTACTTAAATATTCGAACACCAGTTGTGCCTGCAGGCAAAAAATTACAACTATTGTGCACTAGCGGCACTATCCCATGCCAAAGAAACTAAGGATCACAAATAAAACACATACCAGTCACTAGCAGGACTGCAGGACTATTGGCCTTAAGCAACTAACGAAAAACAAGTTTCAAATAAGCTATGGAAGAAACAGAAAATTTGCATGGCTAGGAGGCTTCTGCCAACACTTAATAAGATCTGTATTCATAACCCACTGCCAAAATCAATACTTCTCATCATTCTTATGATCCAATCTATTTTGACTGCAGGACTATTGGCCTTAAGCAACTAACGAAAAACAAGTTTCAAATAAGCTATGGAAGAAACAGAAAATTTGCATGGCTAGGAGGCTTCTGCCAACACTTAATAAGATCTGTATTCATAACCCACTGCCAAAATCAATACTTCTCATCATTCTTATGATCCAATCTATTTTTACATTTTATTTAATCAGCATAATTAATATAAAAATGCTAAGTTTGAGCAAAAGATCAATGATAAACACATAAACTCAACTGCACTAGCAGAACAAAAAGACCACAAAACTATAAAATAAAGACAAGAAAACTGCCCACTTAACCACAAAAACTGAGCCACAACTTGGACAGTCTCAAGAAGCAAGGAAAAACATGAAAAACATATTGCCTGACATGCGAAAAACCACAAAAAAGCTACATATCAACAGCATTCATGCTAAAAAAAGTCCCAGACCTGACCCTGCTAGACCAAAAATCCCTGACTTGCCCCCTGACAGCAGGCTTAACAGCAAAAACCTACAGTGGCGGATCATGACTAAAATATTAGGGGCGGCAAACATTTAACTAAAATATTAGGGGCGGCAAATATTTAACTAAAATATTATAATTGAAATTGACTAAAAATTATAAAATTTAGATTCAATTTTTTCAAATATTCAAAATAACTAACAAAATAAAAATAGAATATATAAATGGAGATATCCAACCTCGAATTAAAGTACCACCTTCCGCTCTTTTAAAGACTTGAACTCATCAATAATTGAATCAGTTGTGAAGTGTTCAACTATTTCCTTTTCAATGTAAAGCATCATATTGTCTGCAAGAAATTCATCTTCCATCTTATTGCGCAATCTTGTCTTGATTATCTTCATTGCTGAGAATGATCTTACTATAGTAGTTGTAGAAACTGGAAGAGTTAAGATAAGACGGATAAGTCGATCAATCAAATAATATGTATTTGTCTTCCCTATCTTTTTTAGAGCTTGACACAATTCAGACATAGTTGACAAGTTATTTAAATCCGGATGACCAACAACATCAAGATGAAAGTGTTGAAGTTGATATCTCAAATTAATTTTCTCATGCTCACTAAAATTTGTAGGATAGAATTTATCTACAAGAGCACATATATTATTCAAATCAAATGCTTTGTAAATATCCTTAGGAACCAAACTATTGCTTAGACTTAAAGCTCCATTGTTTGCTCACAAAACCTATGATTCAATTCTTGTAGTTGTTGATCGATTGTAACACAAAAGAGATCCACTCTTAAATGTTGACCCGCGGTAATGTGATCCATTTGATGACGTGCACGACCTTCACGCTCTATATAAACTGCATTACAATCAAGAGAATCAATATCACGTTTTTCACAAAATAATATTACATCTTTCAATAAGTCATCCCATCCATCTTCTCTCAACTTTTGAATTAATGTCTTCATAGTCGTGACTAACTGCATAGCATTAAGTATATCTTGAGATTTATGTTGTAAAGCTTGACACAAACGATCTGTAATTCCCATAAGTTCTCTCATCATGTGAAAAATTAATGTGAACTCAAATGATTTCATAAACCTATAAGCAGCATTAGCATCCCCGCGTGTAGCATAACTTCTCCCATTTTTTCTAATATTTGCAAGAACCACACAAGTTGGATTATGCAAATCTATCATACTACAAACAAAAGAAAAATGTGAGCTCCAACGTGTATCTCCGGCTCGTTTCAAAGTACCACTTTGATTTTGTCTTTTACCACTATCAAGCTCACCAATCTCTAGCAAATGAAATCTCCTCAAAAATGGCATTTTGAAACTCATCATGACGCTTACTAGAGGAATATACAACATTGACAATACGAGTCAAGTGTGAAGAAATCATGAACAATAAAAACTTCTCTTGATGCAGCAACCAAAGCAAATTGTAATCTATGTGCAAAACAATGTATTTGTAGACCAAAACATTGACAATAATGCTTGCAATCCGTTCCACTCCCCTCTCATATTACTAGCACTATCATACCCCTGCCCACGAATATCTGAAACATTTAGACCATGTTGATAAAGAACATCACAAATTGCATTTTAAAGAGTGATAGCCATAGTGTCATTAACATGCACAAGCTCAAAAAATCGTTCTTGAATACACCCATTTTTATCCACAAACCTCAAGGTAATAGCCATTTGTTCCCTCAAAGATTCATCACGTGATTCATCAACAATTATGCAAAATTTAGAATCCCCAATATCTTCTTGAATATACCTTTTCACTTTATTAGAGCATTCTCTAGTACTACTTTTGCAAGTTCATCATTGTATGACGCTAAGAGTTTTACTATTTCAAGAAAGTTACCTATATTTTTTATCCAAGTGATTCATCATGGCCTCTAAAGGAACAAGCTTTAAATGCGAGCGAACGAATGGAATCAATAGAGCTCTTGAGACGAAGTCTATTTTGGATGACTTGATCAGCACACTGCACAGTAAAAACATTTCTGATGTGAATTGATTGATTGAACAAGTCTTGAGAAGATTTCAAAGCATTATTGTGAGGTGAATAAGGACTCCCTCCAATATGATTAAGAAAAGCACATTTCTTTCCGGCATTGACCTTTCTCCATGTTTTAAATCCTTTTCTAGTAACACATCAGCTCCGGGATAACCGCTAAGTTTTTTACTGAACAAGTAACAAAGTAAACAATAAACAGCATCATTAGTTGAAGAATATTCTAGCCATGAAGGGAACATTTTAAACCAAGATGTTTGAAATCGTCTTGGATATTTATCTCCATTAAGGGGATACTTTTCAACTTGGCATTGATATGGACCCCAATTAAGATAAGATCTTCGAACTTCATCTCTTTGATTTATTGGATATTCTCAAATTTGGAGACGTTTGGCAGGATCACGTTCTAAACAATTAATATCAAATTCTTCCACGGTGACTTTTTGAATCTTGTGAAGTTGTTCATCTGGTTGAACTTGAATTGTTTGTTCACCGGAAGCTTGCTCCTCAAATATCGATGTTGAAGCTATACAATTTTCTTCTTTATCAAAAGCTTTCCTTTTAAAAAATCTTCAATTCTCTTATGTTTAACCATTATATACCTCCTAAAAAATACACAAATAATTAATCACATTTCAAATAATCAATAACACCTAAATCTAATAAAATTATAAACCAAACTAAATCTAAAATATAAGGTGAGCAAAAAAAAACAGTCCAACTAATCTTTGTGAGTGGGGCAAAAACAGCCACTAGGTGTGTAACATAGAAGTTCTAGTCTTCTAGAATCAACCTCATTGTGTGTTAGCCATAGCCACCATGTCTCTATCTATGGGCAACGTTTTAATATTCAACTAAATAGAGTTTTTCCTTTTAAAGATAGACATAGAAACATAAAGAGACCATTTTACAAACTACATCAGCCTTTACATCTTACATCAACACAAAGCAAGATTTTCTTTAAAAATAGACATAGAAACATAAAGAGAGACTGCAGCAGTACCAAATTCAAAACAGCAGCAAGGACACTGCAGCACCGCATCAAATACCATTGATTACATGAACATATATAGAGTGGACTTTTTTTTAAAAATGAAAATAAAATGTTACTTACTTTTTGACTTTCTGAATACAAAATGATACTCCCTGCATCATAATTTCCTAATTGATTAAGCTCAAATTGATGAAGCTTTCTTTTATAAAAGACATTTGTCTAAAAGGGGCAAAACGAAGAAAGAAAAGGGTTGGCATTGCAATTGCAAACATTGAATACTACATACATCAGGATTTTAGCTGACACTTGC